TACTCATCTCAGAAATATGTTTTATATGAGAATAGAGAACTGTTGAATACTCTCAGCCAAAGGCTATAATTTCCACTCTATGTTTTGTCATGGGAATGACACACCTGATGTGTTGTTAACTCCGCTTCTCTTCTGTGCCTTCACCCAAGGTCAGGTTACCATTATTTTTCTCCTAGAATACTGAAATAACCTCAGGACTGTTTTCCCTGTCATTCCACCTCCCAGAATCTTGGTCTACACTGCAACCAGTTATCATAATCTTTAAAAATTCATGTTTCATCACGTTACTCCCTTGCTTAAAGCTTCGCTATTACTTCTCATTGCTCTAAGGTGAAAGACCACAGTACTCTAGCTTCATCTTGTGTTGTTTCATATCCTTCTTCTTCTTCTTTTTTTTATTTTAAAGATTTTATTTATTTGACAGAGAGAGACACAGCAAGAGAGGGAACACAAGCAGGGAGAGTGAGAGAGGGAGAAGCAGGCTCCCCGCCGAACAGGAAGCCCGATGCGGGGCTCGATCCCAGGACTCTGGGATCATGACCTGAGCTGAAGGCAGATGCTTAACGACTGAGCCACCCAGGCGCCCATGTTTCATATCCTTCTTTCCATCTGTGTCTCAGCCACTGTTTTAGTTGTTTTTTCCTATAATAGAGCTTTTTTTTCCCCCAACAGCTTTAGTTAGGTAAACTGCACATATATGAAGTGTATAATTTGATAGTTTTGACATATGTATATGCATATGAGACCATAACCGTAATTCAGGCAGTCAACATATCTATCACCCGTAAGTCTCATGTCTCTATATTCCCTTGTTACGAAACTGCCAAATTGTTTTCTAAAGTAGTTGTACCATTTTCCATTCCCACCAGCAGTGTATGAAAGTTCTAATTTCACCCTGTATATTCATGAACACTTAGTATTGTCAGTTTTTTAAATCTTAGCCATTCTGATGGGTATGTAATATATATATAATTATGGTTTTAATATACATTTCCCTAATAACTGTTAATGTTGAGCATATTTTCATGTGCTTATTTGCCATCTGTATATCTGCTTTGAACTATCCAAATCCTTTGTCATTTTAAAAATTAGGTTGTTTTCATATTTGTTGAGTTTTGAGAATTCTTTGTATATTCTAGATATAGTTCCTTTATCACCTATATATATTTTTTAAGATTTTATTTATTAATTTGACGGGGAGAGAGACAGCTAGAGAGGGAACACAAGCAGGGGTAGTGGGTGAGGGAGAAGCAGACTCTCCACTGAGCAGGAAACTCAATGTGGGGTTCGATCCCAGGACCCCAGGATAATAACCTGAGCCAAAGGCAGACACTAAACAACTGAGCCACCCAGGCGCCCCTCACCTATATTTTTTTGTAAAGATTTTCTCCCAATCTGTGACTTTTCATTGTCTCAACAGTGTCTTTTGAAGAGCAGTTTTTCTTTTTGATGAAATCCAGTTTATCCATTTGTTCTTCTATGGATTTTTGCTTTCGGTGTTCCTATCTAAGAAATCTTTGCCTAGCACAAAGTCAGAGGTTTTCTCTCATGCTTTCTTTTAGAAGTTTCGTAGTTTAAAAATGAAGTTTTATAGTTTTAGGTCTTACCTTTAGATCTGTGATCCATGTGATCCATGTCATCCATTTTGTATTCTTTTTTTTAATGATTTTATTTATTTATTTGACAGCGAGAGAGAGAGCATGAGCAGGGGGAATGGCAGGCTGAGGGAGAGGGAGAAGCAGGCTCCCCGCTGAGCAGAGAGCTGGACATGGGGCTCGATCCCAGGACCCTGGGATCATGACCTGAGCCAAGGCAGACACTCAACCGAGACACCAAGGCACCCCCATTTTGTATTCTTTTTTTTGCTTATGATGAAAGGTATGGATCCACGTTCATGCTTTTTGCGTATGGATATCCAGTTGTTCCAGCACCATTTGTTGAAAAGGCTATATTTTCTCCACTTCATGCCATTGTGTCTTTGTCAGGATCAGTTGACCATATGTGTGTGGTTTTTTTTTTTTTTTTAAAGATTTTATTTATTTATTTGAGAGAGAGAGCACATGAGAGGGGGGAGGGTCAGAGGGAGATGCAGACTCCCTGCCGAGCAGGGAGCCGGATGCGGGACTTGATCCAGGGACTCCAGGATCATGACCTGAGCCGAAGGCAGTCGCTTAACCAACTGAGCCATCCAGGCGCCCCTCTGTGTGGTTTTATTTATGGACTCTATTCTGTCCCATTGATCTCTTTGGCCTTCTTGATGTCAATATCATGCTGTTTTAATTACTACCAGTTTATGATAATTTTTGAAATCAGGTAGTTAGTGTTAGTCCTCCAGTTTTGTTCTTTTTCAGGGTTCTTTTGCAATTCTATTCTAGATCCTTTGTGTTTCCAGAACATGAATTGTATTTATTTTATTTATTTATGTTTTCCACATGAATTTTAGAGTCAGCTTCTCATTTTCTAAAAAAAAAAAAAAAAAAAAACAACTCTGGTGGTCTTCTGGAGATCAGGTTTGGATTAGGTTGAATCTACAGATTAATTTTAATAATATTGAATTTTTCAACCCCGAACAGATTATCTCTCTCCATTTTTATAAGTCTTTAATTTTCTTGGTAATATTTTGTAGTTTTTAGTGTATAGTTATTTTTATCTTTTATGATATTACCTGTCATTATTTTTTATTTTTCAATGCAGTTTCAATTTTTTAATTAATTAAAATTAATTTTTAATTCTTAAGTTTTAATTTTTTTGTTGCTAATATGTAGAAATACAGTTGATTTTTGTATAATGATTCTTTGTCCTCCAAAGTTGATGAGTTCATTTATTAGTTCTAGTAGCTTTTTAAAAAATTCTGTCAGATTTTCTACATAACCAAAGGTTATCAAACTTCACTGTTTTACTAATTTCTTAAGGTGGAGCCAAAGGTCATCAATTTGAGACTTTTCTTCTTTTTTAATATATACATTCAGTGTTGTAAATGCTCATATGAGTGCTAGTATAGCAGGGTTTCAGAAATTCTAATATGTTATGTGTATTCAGTTCGGAATACATTCTAATTTCTTTTTTTCAGTACTTCATTGACCCAGGGGTTATTTAAAGATTTTATTTATTTGAGAGAGAGAGAGAGAGAGCCTGAGCTCGAGGAGAAGCAGCCTCTCCTCTGAGCAGGGAGCCAAATGTGGGGCTGATCCCAGGACCCTGAGATCATGACCTGAGCTGAAGGCAGACGCTTCATCAACTGAGCCACCCAGGTGCCCTGACCTAGGGGTTATTCAGATGTGTGTTAATTAGTTTGTGATCGCAGAGCACACTTTTATGACTTCAGTCCTTTTGACTGACTCCTTTTATTACAATTTATTTTATGACCCAAAATATAGTCTCTTTTGGTAAGTGTTCCATGGATACTTGAGAAGAATGGTGGTGTTCCAGTCTACTATACCCTTGCTGATTTTCTGCCTATTGAAATCTCAGACTATAACTGTGAATTTGCCTGTTTCTCTAGTTCTCTAATTCTCTAATTCTATCAATTTTTGCTTTCTGTATTTTTGAACCTATTAATAGATGCATAAACATTTAGGTTTGTTATGCTTCTTTTAATTGACCCTTCTATCATTATAAAATGACCTTATTTATTGCTGCTAGTGTTTTTTGCTTTGAAATCTATTTTGTCTGGTATTAATATAGCCACTCAGGCTCAGCCTTCTTTTGTCAAGTTGTTAGTGTGGTCTGTCATATTTCTGGCCTTTTAAAAAATGTGTGTCTCTACACTTAAAGCATATTTTTTTAATAGGTTGCATACAGTTGGGTCTTCCTTTTTCATCCATTTTGACAGTCTGCCTTTTAATTGAGGCTTTTAGACCATTTTCATTTAATGTGATTATTGAGGTCGTTGATTTGAATCTGTCATCGTGTTGTGTGACTTCCATTTGTCCTTTCTGCTTTTTGCTCCTATTCTCTTCCTTTTCTGCTGTCTTTTAAATTAATCAAGTAATTTTTATGATTTAGTTTTATTTATGTGAGTATGTATATGTATGTATTTTGCTTACTCTAGCTATAACTCTTTAGTTGTGCTATTTTAGTGATTAGGGTTTAAAGTATATGACTTAAGCATCACAGTCCACCTTTGAGTAATGTTATGCCCCATCATAGTAATTTAAGAAAACTATAATGGCTTACTTCCATTTCTTCTCTCCTAGCCAGATTCTTCTGGATCTGTGGGATGATAGTTTTCATTATTTAGAAAGGTTTTGGTCATTTTTTCTTTTCTTTTTTAAAGATTTTATTCATTTATTTGAGAGAAGGAGAGTGAGAGTGTACGAGCGGGGGACGGGGCGGGGCAGAGGGAGAAGCAGACTCCCCAGTAAGCAGGGAGTCTGACACGGGGCTTGATCCCAGGACCCTGAGATCATGACCTGAGCTGATGGCAGACACTTAACCGACTGAGCCACCCAGGCACCCCTAAAATATCTTTTATATTGAAGTCATTCAGTATATAATTGTTTAAAGTATGAGTGAGTGAATGTGAAAGCACACAGTCCTTTATATGCAAAAAGTACTCACATATTTTATTTCTTTTTTTTTAAAGATAAATTATTTGAGAGAAAGAGAGCATGAGTGGGGGGTGGGAGAGAAGAACAGAGGGGAAGTCGGGGGAAGAACCTCAAGCAGACTCCGTGCTGTGTGTGGAGCCTGACGTGAGGCTCGATCCCACGACTCTGAGATTATGACCTGTGCTGAAACCAAGAGTTGGATGCTTAACCAACTGAGCCACCTAGGTGCCCTATATATCTTATTTGTTTTTTCTCTGATGTAGATTCTACTACTTTACTAAAAATCCAGGATGCGATTCTTTTGTATAAAAAATTAGTAGAACTTAAAAAAAATCAGTGTAAACAACTTAAAAGAAAAAATAAAGAAATGGAAAATAAGATTAATGGACTACAAAAGGAGCTATCAGAAACAAAAGAGTTGAAATTGCAGTTGGAGCATCAAAAAGTGAAATGGGAACAAGAACTTAGCGATTTGAGGTATGACATCTTGGTTTTAAGGAAATAGTTGAACTATTTACCTTTTTTTTTTTTAATAGGCTCCACACCCAATGAGGGGCTTGAACTCACAGCTGTGAGGTCAAGAGTTGCATGCTCTACCAACTGAGCCAGCCAGGTGCCCCTTGAACTCTTTACTTTTGTACTACAGATGTGTAGGAGAAGTTTGATAATTGCTAACTTACCTTCTGGAATTTTTATTTTTATTTTTATTTTTTTAATTTTTTAATTTTTTTAATTTTTAAAGATTTTTATTTATTTATTTGAGAGAGAGAATGAGATAGAGAGCATGAGAGGGAGGAGGGTCAGAGGGAGAAGCAGACTCGCTGCCGAGCAGGGAGCCCGATGCGGGACTCGATCCTGGGACTCCAGGATCACGATCTGAGCCGAAGGCAGTCGCTTAACCAACTGAGCCACCCAGGCGCCCCCTTCTGGAATTTTTATAGGGAAGAAAACGTCTTTAGTAGTGTGAAGTATGAGATTCTTCAAAATAATTTAGCAAGTTCTTGACAGTGAATACTTCTACTGATAATTTAATGTATATTCCAAATCATAATTTTAATGACCATATAGAAGTACACCATATGGAATCCTCATTATTTAACAAATTGCATTTTGGTTATTTTCCATTTTTCTATACTTTAATTAATGCTGTAAGGAATGTTTTATATAAATCTGTTTCTACAATTCTGGTTACTTGGAATAAATTCTTCAATACCGTATTGTTTGCTTAAAGTATAAAAATTTTTAAAGGAGGTCTTTGATCCTATTTTTAAATTGTTCTCTGGGAAGTTTATATTAATTTATATGCCCATCAACAGAGTATGAAATGGCCATTTTTCTCAAGACAGGAAAAATTTTAAAAATTTGTTCAGTTTTAAACATACGCAGTGATTAAAAAGTAAAATGGAAAATGATTACTGCTAAGTTTTCTCAATATCTCTCTTATAAATAAATCCAAAAGTCTGTGTGGTAAGCACATATGACTCTTTATTGTTTCCTTAATTAATATGGATCCTGTGTTCTAAAAGGGGTTTTCAAATGATTTATAAAATGGATAATCGGGGTGCCTGGGTGGCTCAGTTGGTTAAGGGTCTGCCTTCGGCTCAGGTCATGATCCCAGGGTCCTGGGATTGAGCCCTTGATCTCTGCTCGGTGGGGAGCCTACTTCTCCCTCTCCCTCTGCCTGCTGCTCCCTCTGCTTGTGCTCTCTCTCTCTGTCAAATAAATAAATAAAATCTTTTAAAAAAGTAAAATGAATAATAATCAACAAGGTAAATTGACAATATTGCAGAAGAAGAAACGTAAAATGTATAGGGCTATCTATATAAAATGTATAGATATTAGACTCCCCAGCCTAGTCCTGGATCACCATAATCTGCAGGTGTATGTTGTGTAAATGACATCTGCAGATGCTGTCTTATACTGCAAATTATTTTTGGAGGTACCTGTGATGTTTTGTGAAGTAGAAATTTACTTCTAGTGAATTTATAAACTTTCTTATAAGGAGCAACTTCTCTTTTTATTTAGTAACTAAATTATCTGTTCTAATGGAGGAGTAATTATGACTATATGGGGAAAATGATAATTTTTAATTCTAACTTTCTTGAAAAATTTCAAAATTCCTTTCTCTACAATATCTACCAGAGTTAGTACTAAAACTTATTACTAAACTGCATAACGCTTTCTCATTACTTCTTTTCAACTATATATATCTTTTGGAAGAGATTGAAGTGAGAAAGTAAACATGAGCCTGAGAAAGGAAAAAAATTGAGAACATAGAAATTTCATTTGGATAATAAATCAACATATGTGGAACCAGATCATAAAATGAACTTTCTATTACTTACAAAACATTTTTAAATAAGCACATTTATTTGCAGATTTACCTTCAAACAAGAAGAAAAAAAAAGAAGAAATGCTGATAAATTATATGAAAAAATGAGGGCGCAATTCAGAGAAAAAGAAGAGCAGTATAATAAAGAAGTTGAAATGAAACAACAACTTGAACATACTCTTGCAACAGTAGGTGTGGAATTGAGGACTGTAAGGAATAATTTGGATCAGGTAAATCTTTGATAAAAATTGCATATTTCCATCAATATTATTTATAATATACCCTTGATTTAATGTATATTATTTAGGTATAAAATAGATAAAAAATTTAATTTTATTCTAATAGGAACTATAATATTTTTAGTTAAAATTATTAACTTATTGGAATTCTTGGCTTCTCATATATGCTCTCTCTCTATTTTCTGAATGAAGGGATAGAAGGTAAATTGAGATAAATGTGAAGGTTGGCTTTTTTTTTTAAGATTTTATTTATTTTTAGAGAGAGAGCATGAGCAAGGGAAGGAGCAAATGGGGAGGGAGAGGGAGGGAAAAGAATCTCAAGCAGACTCTGCGCTGAATGAAGAGCCCGACTCAGGGTTGGATCTTACAACCCTGAGACCATGACCTGGGCCAAAACCAAGGGTAGGACACTTAAGCAACTGAACCACCCAGGCACCCCAGTTTTGGATTTTTTATGTTAAAATACAGGCTAAATCGCCTTGAGACTATGATGGAACTGGTTAAATGTTTTGTAAAGAAATTTTATTTTCACATACTTTATCTTCTTGTATTTTTACCTTATGACAAATTTAGCTGTCATTTAAATTAAAATTTGAGTTATTCATGCAGGATAAAAATCCTTGTATTTAAAAAGGCTACTTCTTTTGAACATTATTTTTAAGTTCTCTTAAACTTTTGAATTTTTTTAAAAAGATTTTATTTATTTATTTGGCAGAGAGATAGAGAGAGAGCACAAGTAGGCAGAGAGGCAGGCAGAGGGAGAGGGAGAAGCAGACTCTCCACCGAGCAGGAAGCCCGACGTGGGGCTCGATCCCAGGGCCCTGCGATCATGACCTGAGCTGAAGGCAGCCGCTTAACCGACTGAGCCACCCAGGCGCCCCTGACTTTTGTCTTTGTAATGGTGTGATCCAAAATCCTAATGAAAATATGTCTCTAGGTTGTAGAGGAGCGAAATGACGCTAAGTTACAACTTTCTCGAGAACAGAATGCCAGAGTATTACAAGATGGAATTCTAAAGAATCACCTTTGCAAACAAAAGGAGATTGAAGTGGGTAATAACAGAATGAATTCTGGGGTATTTTCTTTAGTTATTTTTAAGTACATGTGTGTATGTATTTGTATGTATATACATTTTATTTTCTGAAATTATTATTTTTTCTCCATGTATGCATACATATAAATTAAAAACCAACACTGTAGATCATGGAAAGCATAGAGGATTTTTAAAACATATATATATATGTGTGTGTGTGTGTGTGTGTGTGTATTTGGGGGCCATAGGGGGTGGTGACATTTTTGGTCCAGTGGATAAAGTAATATCCTTAATTTAAATGCGTTTGTCTGCAAGAGTCAAATAGTGACATTCATCATGTCCTCATCCAAAGGAGAGGCTTTTATTATTTTCCATAAGAATTGTTGAACTTTCCATATGCTCAAAACTATTGCTACTAACAACATATGTTTCAATTTTTGGCAGTTGCTTCATCACCTCTGTATTGAAAGAGAAGCTAGCTTAACACTGCCACTGATGAACAGGAGAAGAGTGTAGCCTGTTGAGAGACTTTCTTTTGGATTTAGTCTCTACTTTTGAGAAAAGTAGCAATTTGCTCCAAGTAGTATCCTATTTCATTACAAGGCGCTTTTGAAACAATTATATGCTAATGACAACTTATTGATGAGTGTTTTATTCCTAATAAAATAGCTCCGTGTATTTTCCCCTATTTTAAACATTTTAAACATCATGAAGAGGAAGTTAAACTTATTGCAGCAGCAAATAATCTCATGATTTTTCTAAGAGCTGTACAAATTTTACCTTATGTACCATCAGTATTTTGAAATATAAGGCTTCTATTGTATGTATGATTTACACTAGAGAAGAGCTGTGGTTTGGTGTAAGAGCACTAGTAGTGGAGTGAGAAGACCTGGGGAAAGTCCTGCAGCTCACTTAATGTTTTTAACCTCTCCATTCTAGAATTGTGATAACTAAAAAGTTCACTGATGTCGGTAGAAGTGTTTATAGTATAGTGACTGGATTTGTCAGTTATCAGTAGATGTAATTCTTATATGTGACTATAGAAATGTTAGAAAAGTAGAATTTGTATGGAATATTGCCAGGAAAAAAGAATTTTAGGAAATTGAATCTGTCAAAATAAAGGCAGAGCTCTGGATTTTATCGTGGGGTAGCTGTGTCAGATATCAGAGTGTAAATTCAATTTTTAGTGTAATCAGATTTATTAATCTTTTATGTCAGGCTTTCTGGGTTTGTTGTAAATCAGAGAAAGACCTTTGCAGGTCTGAGATTCTTAAAAATTGTGTCTTGCTTTCTTTTCTCCTTTCATGCATTCACTGTCTTCAATTAAATTTTTGAAACTTTGGGAATTTATGCTTGTATCAAGTTTGAGGTTTGGACCCAACTTTATTTTTTTCCAGTTGGGATATCCACTTACTGCAACCTGTTCATTGTATAAACACAGGTTTTTCTTTAATTTCAGAGAAAATCAGGATAATGTCATTTTATTGAGTTCCAGCTAAAAGTCTCCTTTGTTTTACTTAGATTTCTAATAGTCATAAAGAAGAAAAAGATCTGTTGCCTAAAACCCACATGTGGCAGGATGAAATTGCCATGCTAAGACTGGAAATAGACACAATAAACAGTAAGAACCAGGAAATGGAAAAGAAATATTGTGAAGACATTGAAATTATAAAAGAAAATGTCAGTCTTCTAAAGGCCATAAAACTGAATGAGGAAACATTAACAAAAACAATATTAGAATATAGTGGACAGATTGATGCTCTGACCACTGAGAATACAATGCTAAAGTCTAAACTGGAGAATGAAAAGCAAAACAAAGAAAGACTGGACACACAAGTTGAATCATATCGAGCTAGACTAGCTACTGCTCTAGAGGATTATGATCAAAGTCAGGCGTCAAAAAGAGACCTAGAACTTGCTTTCTGGAGAGCAAAAGATGAATGGTTTTGTCTGCAGGACAAACTGAATTTTGATGTGTCTAACCTAAAAGAAAATAATGAGCTTCTTTCTCAAAACCTTTCTAAAGCTGAAAGTGAATTCAATACTTTAGAAATTGAGCTCCATCACACAAGAGATGCTCTCAGGGAAAAGACTTTGGTTCTAGAATGTGTACAGAGAGACCTAAGTCAAACACAGTGTCAGAAAAAGGAAATGGAACACATGTATCAAAATGAACAAGATCAAGTGAATAAATACATTGGAAAGCAGGAATCCTTAGTGGAGAGATTATCTCAACTACAAAGTGAAAATATGTTGCTTCAACAGCATCTAGATGATGCTCACAACAAAGCTGCCAGTAAAGAACATGTAGTAATTAATATCCAAGACCAGTTTCAGGGTATCATAAAAAAACTTCAAGCTGAAAGTGAAAAACAAGGTCTTTTGCTGGAAGCAAGCAATAGAGAGTTAATCAATGAATGCAATCTTTTAAAAGAAAGAATGTATCAGTATGAAAAGGAGAAAGTAGAAAGAGAAGTTAGTATCCAGAAAGATAAATATTTTTGAAGCTTTCTAAGAGAAAATTCAAAGTAATATTTGATTATTATTATTATTTTTTTTTTAGAGAGAAAGAGTGCACCTGCACAAGAATGGGAGTGGGGCAGAGGGAGAGGGAGAGAGAATCCCAAGAGGGCTCCACATCAGAGAACTCCGCCTCATGACCCCGAGATCGTGACCTGAATGATTATGGCTGAATTTTGAATCTAGTTGAACATAAAAAATATATAGACTATAATTCAGCATAACTTATATCCAGCAAATAAAAATTAGACTTGAGAGGGGCTTTAATTTGAATAAAATTGTTGTGTCATCTATGAAAGTTTAAGAGGTTAAGTTATAAATTGTTAATAGTAGGCTGATACTAATAATTTAGTCTTATACTGCTAAAATAATAATTTTAATCTTTGTCACCACATTTTAATACCATGATGAACAGATAAATGGAAATGTTCATACCTGCAATGAGCATGTTGAAATTGAGATTCAATTAAGTGGATTCACTTGACGGTTTACTCCAGATTTCCCACATGAACTGAAGTGTAGACGCTGTATCTCAGTACTTTTCCTTTGGTAGCTTTTTATACATTTTAGGTTGAAATAATTTTATTTTTATTTATATAAATTTGAATTTTTAGTCTGAAATCGTGTGTCTTATGACCTTTTAACTCTTTGCAGGCACTTTTCATTAAATCATAATTTGGGACAACTATGGTGAGCTTTAGCAAAACTGTTTGATTTAATCTTCCCACTGCTATTTATAATTTTTTAAGGCAATTTTACAAATAATTTGCTTATTTCAAAGTTCAATGACTATCATTTGGGCATAAGTTTGTCCAATACAAAGAGAATTGTATCTGTAATATTTTAATTTGGCATTGGATCTCCATTTTCAGACTAATGAGGGGTGGCAGGATTCTTGTACTGTAGCAGGAATGGAGGCCAGGGAGGGAGGTGAAAGCCAGGTTATCTAGGGCCTTGAAGCCCATTAGCATGACTTCACTTTTGTTCTGAGATAGTAATCTATTGGAAGGATTTGAGCAGAGGATTGAATATGTGAGGAACTTTGACATTAATTTAAGCCTCTAATAAAAAAGAGGGAAACCATGTCATCATGTAGAATTTACCACTGCTAGGCCCACCTGTATACCCATTTCTTTTTGAGACTTCAGTAGGGTGGGAAGCTTTGCAGATTCATCAACAAGGAATGGAGAGTGGGGCTGAATTAATTATCTAAGTAACATAACACTGACTAGGCAGGAGGATAACACCTGTATGTGGTGATATTTTTCGAAGTACATATGTTAGAGTTATATATTATTAATATAACTTAATAGTAAGATAATTTATAAAATCAGTAGCAGAAACGTCTTATTAGGTAGCTGTGAGACACCTTCAACTAGAACTGGCTGATGCCCTAAAAAAACAATCTATGTCAGAGGCTTCGCTGGAGGTTACATCACGTTGCCGTATTAATTTAGAAGATGAGACACAGGATTTGAGGAAGAAATTAGGTCAAATCAGAAGTCAGGTATTTATTAAATGTAGCATGTCAACAGTTAATCTGTACCAGGTTAATACAAAGTGTTTTAGGATGCTAATTTCTATGAACCATTTTCTTTTGTATTTTCATTATAATTTAGTGTAATTTTAGTATCTTCACAATGCACTTATTTCTTAAACTTTGACTTTCATTCTGCTATTTGTGTTATACATTTTTTTTTTCTTACAGTATTTACCCTTAGGAAAGGTGAGACTTATGCATCATTCCTCACAGAAATTGAGGGACTTTTTTTTCCTACTAAACAACTTTTTTAAAGATTTATGTATTATTTGAGAGAGAGCGAGAGTGCGTGCGCAGGCACACGCGTGAATGGGTGGAGAGGCAGAGGGAGAGGGAGAGAATCTCGAGCAGACTCCCTGCCCAGCACAGAGCCCCACGCCTGCTCGATTCCATGATCCTGAGCTGAAATCATGAGTTGGATGCTTAACCAACTGAGCCACCCAGGTGCAATGTTTTTTAATGATATCTCTGTTACCATGATGAGGTGAGCCATACAAAATCAGAAGATAATCCTTAATGGAATGTTTCAGACAATGGTCTTATTTCTCATGTTCACTTTTATGAACGGATATAGAATCTGTACTGATTTTAGGATAACTTGTACAGAAAAGTCATTTTACAAACCAGTTGAACTTAGGCATTTCCTTCATTTTCTTTTCCTTTTAGATATATTGTAAATGCATAGAAATAGTCAGATCATGTGTAGTATATACACCCAAAAGAGAGAATTAAGAAATTAAGAATGGGTCCTGCCATTGTTTTTTGTTTTTTTTTTTTTTAAGATTTTCTTTATTTGACAGAGAGAGACACAGCGAGAGAAGGAACACAAGCAGGGGGAGTGGGCAAGGGAGAAGCAGGCTTCCCGCCGAGCAAGGAGCCTGATGTGGGGCTTGATCCCAGGACCCTGGGACCATGACCTGAGCCGAAGGCAGCCACTTAATGACTGAGCCACCCAGGCGCCCCCATTGGATTTTTTAAAAACTTTATTGAGATATAATGCCCATACCATACAATTCACCCAGTTAACATGTATAGTTCAGTGTTTCTGATCATATTCATAGAGTTGTGCAACTATCACTGCCATCAAGTAGAACATTTTCATCACCCTGAAAAGAAACCCTTAGCCCTTGAGCCCCCAGCCTCAGGCAACCACCAGTCTACTTTCAGCCTCTATAGAGTTGCCTATTCTGAATATTTCATATAAAGGGGGTCACACAATGTGTGGTCCTTTGTGACTAGCTTCTTTTACTTAATGTTTTCAGGGTTCATCTGTGTTATAGCATATATCAGTGCTTCATTTTTTTTTTTAATTGTCCAACAGTACTCCATTGTGGGCCAAAACCCTTGTTCATTCATCATTTGATGCACCTTTGGGTTGTTTCCCACTTTATGGCCATTAATAATGCTGCTCTGAACGTTGATTTAATTGTTGTCTGGACATCTGTTTTTATTTCCCTGCCATCAGATTTTATCCTCTGAGTTAATTGGATTGATTTCACCATCTCTCAGCCTTTTACTCATGCTGTCCTTTCTGTCCTCTTAGTTTCCCTTCCTCTTGCCTAGTCCTACACTATTCAGACCTGGCTCATAGTCTCTCATTCTCCAGGAAGCTCTCTCTGACTATTCTAATTCCCACTGACTTTACTCTCTTCACACGTGTCTCATGTAGTCTATGCAGAACAATTTAGTCCACAATTTAGTCCTTTATTTTACATTGGTTTTATTTTTTTCGTGAGAGATAATTTTGTCTTTCTAAGTACACATTTATCTAAGGGGGAAAATATGGGATATGCATGGTACCTATCCTTGTATAAATTGAGAATATTTTAACTTAACAGTGTTTAGGATAAAATTAAGTACATTATACCATATCAATAATTTCTGATTGAAAACATTGACATAACAAAGCTTTTATTCTAAATGTATTTTAAGCAATTAAATGTAAAATTGAAAGCATTTAATCTGACAGAGGAGAAGTGTTCAATCAAATGTTTGTTTTTCCCCCTCACTGTGGAAAAACAGCTATATTTGCCTTTCTTCATTTTGCAGCCAGTACTGAGATTACTTTACCAACTATAAAGCTCCGGGCAAAGCTTTTCTTTTTTCTTTTTTTTTTTTTTAACCTTTCTTTTTTAAAGTTTGTTTGTTTGTGTATTTATTTATGTAATTTCTACACCCATCGTGGGGCTTGAACTCATGAGGACAAGGTCAAGAGTCGCATGTTCTTACCACTGAGCCAGCCAGGCGCCCCCGGGGACAGTTTTTTCTGATATGCCATACCACGTAGCCTTAATGTATTCATCAGAGTACTTGCTAAAGCAGTGTAACACAGACAGTTGCTAAGATAATATAAACATGAAATGATTTGGGAATGTTGATTTAGCAAGAGTCCATTATTTCCACGTCAGTGGCTTTACCTTGCCTCTGATGGTCATGTAAATATTTATTACTCAGTCTAGGAGGTACTATTTGCCCTGTAGTCCATGAGATTGTCCACTGAGTAGTATAGAGAGGCAGTAAGTTAAAATTATTATAAGTGGAAAAAAGTACTGTTAGCTAGTGGAATTGGTAAAAGTTTTTGAAGTATGGAGGATGTATTCTGGGCCTCATGCTCCCCATTTGCTGCCACTTTCAGTGGTGTGAAGAACGATTTCAGTGTAACTTGTATAAGAGACCACTTTCATTGGCCTACCATCTGCCTAAAATATGAAATATTATTAGAACATAACCTACAGCAACAACAATAATGCTAATTGCAGACAGAATCTGGTATGTGCCACATACCCTTCTAAATAGTTCATGTATAGGGGCACCTGGGTGGCTCAGTCGTTAAGCGTCTGCCTTCGGCTCAGGTCATGATCCCAAGGTCCTGGGATCGAGCCCCGCATCGGGCTCCCTGCTCGGCGGGAAGCCTGCTTCTCCCTCTCCCACTCCCCCTGCTTGTGTCCCCTCTCTCGCTGTTTCTCTCTCTCTGTCAAATAAATACAATCTTTAAAAAATAAAAATAAAAATAAATAGTTCATGTATACTTCCTAAATTAATCTTCCCAACATCCCAGTGTGTAGATACTATTTTTATCTTCATTTTACGAAGAAGAAACTGAGACACAGAAATTTTAAGTAATTTGTTCAGGTCACACAGCTAATACCCAGTGTTCAGACCCCAGGCATTCTGGTTCCTACGAAGATAATGCCTCTCATACTATTCCATGAAATATCTAGTTGTCACTGAAAGCAACATGTTAACTTTTATAATCACTGGAACAGCCATGGTCATTCACATATGTGAATATTTAAAAGTAGAATGGATGTGGTACTTCGAATACAAAAACAGAAATGTTTACCATAAGGTAATTTCGTATCTTTCCCCCTTTGACCAATATATAAATTTGTAGGTTTAGCTGATAAAATATAATTTAAAAACATTAAAAACGTGACATTTTAGTAACTAGAGAAGTCAGCAAACTTTTCTGTAAGGGGATTGTAAATATTTTATTTTATTTTAAGATTTTATTTATTTGAGAGAGAGAAGGAACAGCGGGGAAGGGCAGAGGGAGAGAGAGAGAGAGAAGCAGACTCCCTGTAAATATTTTAGGCTTCGTAGGCCATAGGTCTCTGTTGCAGCAGTTCAAATCTGCTGTAGCCATAAAGCAGTATGTAGAGGAGAGTGTGGCTGTGTCCACTAAAATTTTATTTACAAAAACAGCTGATGGTGGTTTTATACTAGATTGCCAGTAGTTAAAAGTATTTCTTTTTTTTTTCTTTTTTAGTTGCAAGAAGCACAAGATCGACATGCAGAGGCTGTAAGATGTATTGAGACGTCGAAAGATCACGTGCAAAAGTACAATTTAAAGCAGCACAGAAAATACTTGAGTATTTATAAAGCAGAGAAGCAGTGTAGGATGAGAAATATATCAGTTATGATAATAAGTACATCATTGTTAAGCTGGATAAAACTTCCAGCTTTGCGCTATTTGGAAATGCATAAATTTTGCATATTATCTTTAAATTTTGCACATTAACTATAAAACACAACCAGAAAAATGGCACAATTGCCAAATCTTCTACTTTTTAAATTTTTAAGAATTTATGTAAGACCGTCAGATGTTTGTTTAGAAATTATACGGTACTTTTAAAATTTATGTGTGAGAATAATTTTAAAATATTCATTTTAGGCTTGAAGTTGAAAATGCCAAGTTAAAAGTTACAGTCAAAAAACAAGCGTGCAAAATTGAACAACTTCAGGAAAACCTGTTAAGTACAAGTTTGGTAAGTCAGTCTCTTAATTTCTGTCCTACTGAAAAGGAATTTTTATTTCTCTAGTAGTAGTATATAAGACCATTTTGGATAATATGAAAATTCTCACTAATAAAAATGTTTATTGTATTCATATTGTTGCTACTTGCTACTGGTAGTATAATTCCTCTTTATAGATGAAGTTGACTGAATTCATAAATTAATAATTTTTATAGTAAGATTGTAATAAAAAAGATTGTGGTAGTCTAAGATAAGCAATATTTTATACATACCACATTTTATTTATCTATCTGGCAGTGGACAATTGAGTTTTTCTACCTTTTGGCTACTGTTAGTAATGCTGCTGTGAATATTGGCATACAAACGTCCGAGTCCCTACTAATATTTTTCAGTATGTTTAAAAAACCGAAACTTTGAGTCATAATTTGATATTGAATTCTGACTTTCTCTTGTAATCTAAACCCTTCCGTGAGATTTGAGAATGGATTACTTTCATGATAATTTGTTGTGATTTGTAATTATAAATTTGTAATTTGTTGACTTCATCAAGAATGACTACTAGATCATTATGCAAACATTTTTCTCAAAGGAATATATTTTTCTCTTTGTTGGATTTTGAAAAGGAAAAGAGATGCCAGTGAAAAAGTGGAAATGACTGCTCAATCAGGGCCTTACATAGTAACATAGTGCTCCTAGCATTCACTGCAAGTTCAGGAACTTTTTTTTTTTTTTCATTAATTTGAGTTAATCAGCCTTTCAGAGATTTAGCAATCGAATCTCAGAAAAGATTAATGTGCAATCCGGGATTACAACTTATTGATACGTAGTGCAAACTATATAACTATTTACCAAGCAGAACCGGATTATCATGCCATTTATACCCTCCTTCATAGGAGAGGCTACCAATGATTTAAGATGAGAAGACTGCATTGTGAGTCCTAGGTTGGAACAATGAGGTAGATGCACCTACCACTAGTTTCTTTTAGTCACAGAAGCTGCATCCTTGCAAATTTCATTATACAGCTATACCTATCAGGGGAAGTAGCACATTCTGTTGACTGGTCCTTTTTGTGGCCAAAGAAACATCGAAAGTTTCTAAAGTCAGACGATCATCAAAACTGTAATGGGGACTGCATGGGAATCAAAAATTATTTTTTTTCTAGATTTCCTATAAATTAGTCACATTGTATTACTATAGTTTTCATTGAGCAAGTAAGGTGACGATATGTGAATGAGAATGCCAGGAGTTGTCCCCCTACGGTGTCATATAGAAATCTATTAAGGAAGCTATCAAATCTTGTAAAGTTTGTAAGAATATCCGTAGGTATTCTGTAGATTCCAATGGAAATGAATTAGGGTTGTGACATAAAATTATTAGCCACTTTAAGGTCTACCCTGTGAAACAAACACTTAGCTTTCAACCAACTCAGTCCATAGTCCTAACATCTCTAGAAGGATTTTATCTCATGAATCCCCAGGCCAGAGACTACCTGGGTTAAGATATTTGATGGACATAGTTTTGAGGTGAAGTCTGGATTGGGAAGAAGAGATAGCTCTAGGCTGACTTAAGCTTCCAAACAATATAGTCAAGTATGTGTCTGAAAAGAACTTCAGAAGAAGACTTCCATAAGATCCAATCTCTATGGAATAGGAAATTATTCAAAAGAAAACAAAGGCAAACAATTGATAGTCTGACCCTTGGGAGAAACATTTGCATCAGAAAAGAAAAGCAAGACAGAGTATGGTGGTCAGCATCCTAAGGGTAAGGGTGCCCCCCTGAGATGACAAAATAACAATACACTCAAAGTAATACCAAAAAGAGTCAACATAAAATGTACAAAGTTAGCTGTCTAGGGGTACCTGGGTGGCTCAGTCAGTTAAGCGCCTGCTTTCGGCTCAGACCATGATCTCAGGGTCCTGAGATCGAGCCCTGCTCAGCTGGGAGTCTGCTTCTCCCTCTCCCTCTGCTCCTTCCCCCTATTCATGCACTCTCTATTTCAAATAAATAAATTTAAAAAAATTAGCTGTCTATAAAGGTAATCCACATCAGGTAATGGTTTTTGAGTGTGTGGTTGAGAATATTGTCTATGAGGAACGAGAAGGAAGATCAAAAAGTAGAGATGACCTCAGTAAAGGGGTCAAGGCTGGAAATGTAGATTAGAGAATCTGGTTTTGAAGCCTTGAGATTTAACCAACTCTGAGAGGATTTGATAAGAGGAATAGCAAAGGTCAGGGACTAACCGCGGTTGCTGTCATTTAGAAATAAAATGGGATTAGAGAGCAGAGGGAGGGTATGGTCATTGTTTTCAGCTGTTGCTGAGAAGTAAAGCAGGATAAAGACTTTAAAAAAAAGATCCTTGATGACCCTCAAAATTTTTTAGTGGAATTCCAGGATTGAAACTCCGATTTTAGTGTAAAAGAAGAAAATAAGTGTTGGAAAGATGAATCTGTGGATGAGATGACATATGAAAGAATGCTCAAGTCTTGTGAAAGGGGAGAAACAGGATGATAGAAAAAGCTGCAAGAGTGAAGCAAAAGTTTTTATGTAATATCGAGAAGACTTAAACTTTATTTAAAGAGAAAGGTAGTTAACAGAAAAGAAGAAATTGAAACCTTGCGGAGATGCTTGCAATGCTTGCAGAGAAGGAGAGTATCTCATTCTAAAGTCAGACTATCATCAAAACTGTCATGGGGACTGCATAGGAATTTTTCAGAGATTATCTTAAAAAGGTATGATCTCACAAAACCCAGAGTATCTTAAGCTTTGGATGAAAACGTTTCTAGGGCATGTTTAGAAACTAAAATATAAATATAACCACTTTTTTAAATTTTTCATTAACACTTAGTATTAATATGGGTAAGAACCTCTGTATTTAACAAGTAAATTCTGGCAGTTTAAATTCTAGAAAAAATAATGATGAAAATGTAAAATCAGTTTAAGCTGTTTTTAAGAAAGGTCCTTATATTTGAAATTTGTATTTATTGGCATCAGGTTTATAAAACTATATTATATAAAACTTAAAATTATAAATTTTAAACTATATTATATAAATTTAAAATTATAAATTTATAAAATGTATAAAATGTAGTATATGAGCCTTTCTAAACACGTTATTACTTATGAATTCATGAGAAATAATATTTTATGAGAGAAGAATGAGTATCTAGATTTTTAAATATAATTTTCTTTAAAAATTATTTTCAAAGTCTGATGAAGAAAAGGGACAGATAAAGAAATTTATTGAGTTGAGGGACGCCTGGGTGGCTCAGTCAGTTAAGCGTCTGCCTTCAGCTCAGGTCATGACCCCAGGGTCCTGGGATCGAGTTCCGCATCGGGCTCCTTGCTCAGCGAGGAGTCTGCTTCTCCCTCTGCCTGCCACTCCCGCTGCTTGTGCTCTCTCTCTCTCTCTCTGTCTAATAAATGAATAAAATCTTAAAAAAAAAAAAAGAAATGTATTGAGTTGAAACAATCTCTGGAATGTAGTTTGGATCAAGAAATGAAGAAAAATGGTGAATTAGAAAAAGAGATGACTAGGTAAGACTGTAATATTTCAGATAATTTTAACCATTAATTAACGGATTTAACTGTAATTTTACTTTATTAAATACAAATACTTGCCAAAATATTACACTTACTCTTTAATGATTCCTTAAATAATAATATAAATACATAATATAAATATATTAATATAATTATATTATATTAATAATATAATTATAAATTATATAATATATTTATATATAATATATTATATATTATAATTATATAATAATATAATTATAAAATAAATATAATAATATAAATAACATAATATAAATAACATAAATAATAACAATAGTTCCTTTAACAATAACAACTGTAATTTTCATTGTCCATTTTGAAGAGTTTCTGCAAGATATCTTTGTTCTTTGGTAATATTTCCTTTTAATAGTGTTCTTCCCTTCCAACAAGTATTTTAATATCTAAAAACCTGTGTCACTGTTTAATCATATCAAAAGTTATCTTGGTTTGGCTTATATTTTCTTTTTTTTAATATTATTTTTTAAATTTAAATTCAGTTAACCAACATAAAGTATATTATTTTCCAAGGTAGAGTTCAGTGATTCATCAGTCTTATATAACACCCAGTGCTAATTACATTAGGTGCCCTCCTTAATGTCCATCATCCAGTTACCCCATCCTTCTCCCCTCCTATGCTCCAGGAACCCTCAGTTTGTTTCCTATGATTAAGAGTCTCTTGTGATTTGTCTCCCACTCTAATTTCATCTTGTTTTATTTTCCCCTCCCTTCCCCTATGCTCCTCTGTTTTGTTTCTTAAATTCTACATAGGAGTGAAATCAAATGATTATTATCTTTCTCTGACTGACATATTTGGCAAAATACCCTCTAGTTCCATCCACGTCATTGCACGATTTCATTTTTTTTATTGGCTGAGTGATAGTCCATTGTATATATCTACACATCTTCTTTATCCATTCATCTGTCAAGGGACATCGGGGCTCTTTCCACAGTTTGGCTATTGTGGACATTGCTGCTATAAACATTGGGGTGCAGGTGCCCCTTCGGATCACTACATTTGTATCTTTGGGGTAAATCCTTAGTAGTGCAATTGCTGGGTCGCTGGGTAGCTCTATTTTCAACTTGTTGAGGAACCTCCATACTGTTTTCCAGAGTGGCTGTCCCAGCTTGCATTCCCACCAGCAGTGTAAGAGGGTTCCCCGTTGTCTGCATCCCTGCCACATCTGTTGTTTCCTGACTTGTTCATTTTAGCCATTCCAACAGGTGTGAGCTGATATCTCATTGTGGTTTTGATGTGTATTTATTTCCCTGATGCCAAGTGATGTTGGGCATTTTTTCAAGTGTCTGTTGACCATTTGAATGTCTTCTTTGGAGAAATGTCTGTTCACGTCTTCCATGTTTCTTGACTGGATTATTTGTTCTTTGGGTGCTGAGTTTGATAAGTTCTTCTATATAGATTTTGCATACTAGCCCTTTATCTGACATGTCATTTGCAAATACCTTCTCCCATTCTGTCAGTCGTCTTTTGGTTTTGTCGACCGCTTCCTCTGCTGTGCAAAAGCTTTTTATCTTGATGAAGTCTTTGTTTCCCTTGCCTTTGGAGACGTGTCTAGCAAGAAGTTGCTGTGGCCCAGGTCACAGAAGTTGCTGCCTATGTTCTCCTCCAGGATTTTGATGGGTTCCTGTCTCACATTTAGGTCTTACATCCATTTTGAGTCCATTTTTGTGTATGGTGTAAGAAAATGGTCCAGTTTCATTCTTCTGCATGTGGCTGTCCACTTTTCCCAACACCATTTGTTGAAGAGACTGTCTTTTTTCCCATGGCTGTTCTTACCTGCTTTGTCGAAGATTAGTTGACCATAGAGTTGAGGGTCCGTTTCTGGGTTCTCTGTTCTGTTTCATTGGCCGATGTGTCTGTTTTTGTGCCAGTATCATACCATCTTGATGATTACAGCTTTGTCATAGAACTTGAGGTCCGGAATTGTGATGCCACCAGCTTTGGTTTTCTTTTTCAACATTCCTTTGGCTATTCGGGGTCTTTCCTGGTTCCGTACAAATTTTAGGATGATGTGTTCCAGCTCTGTGAAACAAGTTGATGGTATTTTGATAGAGATTGCATTGAATGCACAGATTGCTCTGGGTAGTGGTAGCATAGACATTTTAACAAATTTGTTCTTCCAATCCATGAACATGGAGTGTTTTTCCATTTCTTTGCGTCTTCCTCAATTTCTCTCGTGAGTGTTCTATAGTTTTCATAGTACAGATCCTTTGCCTCTTTGGTTAGGTTGATTCCTAGGTATCTTACGGTTTTTGGTGCAATTGTAAATGGGTTTGACTCCTTAATTTCTCTTTCTTCTGTCGCATTGTTAGTGTATAGAAATGCAACAGATTTCTGTGCATTGATTTTATATCCTGCCACTTTGCTGAATTCCTGTATGAGTTCTAGCAATTTGGGGGTGGAGTCTTTTGGGTTTTCCACATAGAGTATTATGTCACCTGCGAAGAGTGAGAGTTTGACTTCTTCTTTGCCAATTCCCATGCGTTTTATTTCTTTTCATTGTCTGATTGCTGAGGCTAGGACTTCTAGTATTATGTTGGACAGCAGTGGTGAGAGTGGACATCCCTGCCGTGTTCCTGACCTTCAGGGAAAAGCTCGCAGTTTCTCCCCATTGAGAATGATATTTGCCGTGGGCTTTTCATACATGGCTTTTATGGTATTGAGGTATGTGCCCTCTATCCGTGCATCGTGAAGAGTTGTTTGTTTGTTTGTTTTTTTAAAGATTTTATTTATTTATTTGACAGGGAGATAGAGAGAGAGCACAAGTAGACAGAGCGGCAGGCATAGGGGGAGGGAGAAGCAGGCTTTCTGCTGATTAGGGAGCCGGACGTGGGGCTCGATCCCAAGACCCCAGGATCATGACCTGAGCCAAAGGCAGCCGCTTAACTGACTGAGCCACCCAGGCGCCCCATGAAGAGTTTTAATCAAGAAAGCATGCTGTACTTTGTCAAATGCTTTTTCTGCATCCATTGAAGGAATCATACAGTTCTTGTCCTTTCTTTTATTAACGTAGCATATCACGTTGATTGATTTGCGGATGTTGAACCACCTTTGCAGCCCAGGAATAAGTCCCACTTGGTTGGGGTGAATAATCCTCTTAATGTACTGTTGGCTCCTATTAGCGAGTATGTTGATGAGAATTTTTGCATCCGTGTTCATCAGGGATATTGGTCTGTAATTCTCCTTTTTGGTGGGGTCTTTGTCTGGTTTTGGGATCAAGGTAATGCTGGCCTCATAGAAAGAGTTTGGAAGATTTCCTTCCATTTCTATTTTTTGAAACAGCTTCAGAGGAATAGGCATTAATTCCTCTTTAAGTGTTTGTTAAAACTCCCCAGGGAAGCCATCCGGCCCTGGAGTTTTGTTTCTTGCGAGATTTTTGATTACTGCTTCAATTTCCTTGCTGGTTGTGGGTCTGTTCAGGTTTCCTGTTTCTTCCTGTTTCAGTTTTGGTAGTTTCTACCTCCCTAGGAATGCATCCATTTCTTCCAGATTGCCTAATTTGTTGGCATATAGTCATTCCTAATATGTTCTTGAAATTGTATTTCCTTGGTGTTGGTTGTGATCTCTCCTCTTTTATTCATGATTTTATTTATTTGGATCCTTTCTCTTTTCTTTTTGCTAAGTCTGGCCAGGGGTTTATCGATCCCATTAATTCTTTCAAGGAACCACCTCCTAGTTTCGTTGCTGTGTTCTACTATTCTTTTGGTTTCTATTTCATTGATTTCTGCTCTGATCGTTATTAATTCTCTTCTCCTGCTGGGTTTCGGCTTTATTTGCTGTTCTTTCTCCAGCTCCTTTAGGTGTAAGGTTAGGTTGTGTATTTAGGACCTTTCTTGTTTCTTGAGAAAGGCTGTTGTTGCTCTCTACTTCCCTCCCCGGACTGCCTTTGCTGCATCCCAAAGGTTTTGAACAGTTGTGTTTTCATTTTCCTTTGTTCCCATGAATTCTTTTAATTCTTCTTTAATTTCCTGGTTGACCCATTCATTCTTTAATAGGATGCTCTTACATTCCATGTATTTGAGTTCTTTCCGAATTTCCTCTTGTGATTGAGTTCAAGTTTCAAGGCGTTGTGGTCTGAAACTCTGCAGGGAATGATCCCCTACTTTTGGTACCGGTTGAGACCTGATTTGTGACCCAGTATGTGATGTCTTCTGGAGAAAGTTCCATGTGCACTCGAGAAGAATGTGTATTCTGTGGCTTTAGGTTGGAATGCTCTGAATCTATCTGTGAAGTGCATCTGGTCCAGTGTCGACCTCAGAGAGTCGTGGACCTGGGGCGGTGAAGGAACTGAGGAAAAGAGATGCCAGTTTTGCGAGGCACAGGGGACCCCGAGCAATCAGCCCAAGGTCCCGAGGTTTATTTTCCATAATCTTATATACCTTCTACAGCGCTATAGATCTCTAATGATTTACAGCATGGGCTTAGTAAGGCACATTCTTCCATGTACATAGGATTAGTCCCGCATGTATGATAAGAATCTTTAAAGCAGGACAAGGGAACAAAGAGGGGAGTGCACAGTGTGCTATTTACAGGGCAAGGGAACCAAGAGGGGAGTGCACAGTGTGCTGTTTACAGGTGGCTTCCTATCTACAAAACATCTTCTGCTGCGTACTTTAGAACAGACCACACACGTCCCAAGGGCAATTCACTCTGATCCTTTCGGCTTATTTTTAACCCAGCAAATCGAGTTTTCTCAGAGATCTCGGAGTCTGAACGAACATGCACCAGTGGTTGTTGTGGAGGTCTGTTTCCCACAGTCCAGTGTGTCATTCACTGTTATTATTGTATCATCATCAATGTGTTTCTTTAATTTTATTATTAATTGGTTTATGTCATTGGCTGCTCCCATGTTAGGGGCACACATATTTACAATTGTTAGATCTTCTTGTTGGATAGACCCCTTTAAGTCATTATGATAGTGTCCTTCCTCATCTCTTATTACAGTCTTTGGTCTAAAATCTAATTTGTCTGGTACAAGGATTGCTACCCCAGCTTTCTTTTGATGTCCATTAGCATGATAAATGGTTTTCCACTCCCTCACTTTCAATCTGGAGGTGTCCTTGGGTCTAAAATGAGTCTCTTGCAGACAGCATATCGATGGGTCTTGCTTTTTTATCCAATCTGATACCCTGCATCTTTTGATTGGGGCATTTGGCCCATTTACATTCAGGGTAACTATTGATAGATATGAATTTAGTGCCATTGTACTACCTGTTATATCACTGTTACTGTATATTGTCTCTGTTCCTTTCTGGTCTGTGTTACTTTGGGGCTCTCTCTTTGCGTAAAGGATCCCCTTTAATATTTCTTGCAGGGCTGGGTTAGTGATCACAAATGTTTTAGTTTCTGTTTGTCCTGGAAACTCTTTCTTTCTCCTTCAAGTTTGAATGACAGCCTTGCTGGATAAATACAGTATTCTTGGCTGCATATTTTTCTCGTTTAGCACCCTGAATATATCATGCCAGTCCTTTCTGGCCTGCCAGGTCTCTGTGGTTAGGTCTGCTGCCAGTCTAATGTTTCTACCCTTGTCGGTTAAGGACCTCTTGTGCTGAGCTGCTTTCAGGATTTTCTCTTTGTCTCTGAAATTTGCAGGCTTCACTACTATATATCGAAATGTTGACCTGTTTTTATTGATGTTGAAGGGGGTTTTCTGTGCCTCCTGGATATGAATGCCTGTTTCCTTCTCCGGATTAGGGAGGTTCTCTGCTCTAATTCTCAAACACACCTTCTGCCACCCCCCCTTCCTCTTCTTCTGGGATCCCAATTATTCTACTATTGTTCCGCTTTATGGTATCACTTATCTCTTGAAATTTCACCTCGTGATCCAGTCGTTTATCTCTCTTTTTCCCCAGCTTCTTTATTCTCTGTCATTTTGTCTTGTATATCACTACTTCTCCTTTCTGCCTCATTTATCCTCTCAGTTAGAGCCTCTATTTTTTTAGAGCCTCTATATTTGATTGCATCTCATTAATAGCCTTTTTGATATTGACTTGATTAGATTTTAATTCTTTTATTTCTTCAGAAAGGGATTCTCTAGTGTCTTCTATACTTTTTTCAAGCCCAGCTAGTATCTTTATCATCGTCATTCTGAACTCTAGTTCTGACCTCTTATGTCCATACTGATTAGGTCCTTGGCAGTCTTTACTGCCTCTAGTTCTCTTATTTGAGCTGAGTTTTTCCATCTTGTCATTCTGTCCAGAAAATAGATGAATGAGTGAACAAAATACTAAAAGAGCAACAACAACCCCAGTGAAATATACACTAAACAAATTAGAAGAGACCCAGACCAAAAAAAAAAAAAAAAAAAAGAAAAAAGAATATAATCAGGTGAACAGAACAGAGAAATACACTGGATCCTGTATGTATTTGGGTCTGTTTGTTAGAAAACTACATCCCAAATTGTAAAGAAAGAAAAACTTATATATATATACAAAAATAAAATTAAATACAATGAAAGGATAGAATGTAATTGTAAAAATGAAAGTTAAAAAAGACTTGCAGAAAGTGGTTGCTTTTCTTTTTTTTTTTTTATTACTAACATACAGTGTATTATTTGTTTCAGGGGTACAGATCTGTGATTCATCAGTCTTACATAATACACAGCGGTCACCACAACACATACCCTCCCCAAACGTGGTCACTTTTCTATTTGTAGAATTGCGGCAATTCTTTTCTTAGATCTCCGGTTGAGTTCACAGGTGTTCAAAATCATTTTATAGCTATCGAGTGAGTTCCGGACCAGACAAAACTAAGCTCTCCTACTCCTCCACCATCTTTTTGGATTCAACTTGCTTATATTTTCTTTCTGCATTTTTTAATTATAAAATATACAGAGGAAAATATATGTCTGACTTAAAGAAGAATAAAATTAGCAATCATGCTTTTACCACTCAGATTAAAAAAAAAAAAAGTTTTTTCCAATGTCTGTAGCTCCCACAGGGCTCCCTTTCTGTTTTTTTTTTTTTTTTTTTTTTTTTTGCTGACTACTCAAATTTGTTCTCTGATATTCTCTCATTTAACTGTCTTTCTCTGCATTGTTTTGCAACCCTTTCACTTTGTTAACAGTGTCCTAGCCAAGATATGTAACTTCTTTCCTGAAACAGTCTCATAGACCATCACACATTATCTCTTTGCTGATTTCCTTTCTTCTAAAGCTTTGTCTCTTCATTTTTCCTCTCAACTCAGACTTTAAAGATTTTTCTTTCTTCTTTTTTTGTGAGTGATCTCCTTTGATGTTTTTTGTATGTATTTTCTTTTCTTCTTGTAGACTGTGGTTAGTGGGTACCAAAATGTATTTTTGTGTCTTTTTAAAACATTCATGGATAAGTATGCTTTTCTTCTTCACCTTGGATACTGGTCTCTGGTTTATAGTCACTATTTAATAATAGATGATTCTATTAAGATACTGAAAATAAATATTAATAACTTATGTATAAGAACTCTTAATATAGTTACAGTATTAATTCTGCCAGTTGTGTCATAAAAATTTTCTTCATATTTTTTTACCTGAGATTATAATTTAGTTAGTATGTTCTTAAACAATGTGAGATTGGGACAAATGAGAGATCATAATTTATAGATTTGTTTATATGATAGAACATATTATCTATTTAAACAATTATTAAATATTTACTCTTAAAAAACCTGACTTACTCATTCTATACCTTCCGCAGATTTAAGAAACTCTTAAACGTGACAAGGAGAAAGTTAAGTGAATATGAAGGTAGAGAGCTTACTTTCCCTGGAAATTCAAAAACCAATCAAATTGAAATGGATAGTCAGATTAATATGCTAAAACAGAAGGTAATTTTTAATTAGTTTTGGGACTCCAGAATCATTTAATTTTGGGAAATAAGTCACTCAGTGCTTTGAGCAATGAAATGTTTTCTATTAATTTTATATACGTGCTACATTTTTTTTTTTTTGGTAACAGCTTTATTGAGATAAAATGAACGTAATGTGCAAATTCGAAGAGTACCACAATCAATTTTAGAACATTTTTGTTACCCTGTAAAGAAGTCCTGTACCTTTTACCTGTCGCCCTATGCTAGGTTCCCCTTCCCTACTCTCCTTAGCCCTAGGGAACCACTACTTACTCTCTGTCTCTATAAATTTGCCTATTTTGGACATTTCATATCAATGGAATCACACAATATGTGGTCCTCTGTGACTGCCTTCTTTCATTTAGCATAATATTTTCAAGTTACACCTATTTTGTAGCATGTGTCAGTACTTTATTTCTTTTTATTGCTAATAATATCCCACTATACAGACATACGACATTTAATTTATTCATTTATCAGTTGGTAGATCTTTAGATTGTTTTGCTTTTCGTCTGTTGTTAATAATGCTATTATACACACACGTACAAGTTCTTGTGTGAACATGTTTTCATTTCTCTTGGATATATACTTACAAATGGAATTGCTGGGTCATATGGTAACTCTCTTTAACCTTTTCTTTTTTTTTTTTAACCCTTTGAGGAACTGCCACACGGTTTTCCAACATGGCTGCACCATTTTACATTTTCGTCAGCAGTGTTTGAAGGTTCTCATTTTTCCTGATTTTTGCCAATGTTTGCCATTATCTGTTGTTTTTATTATAGCCATCCTAGTGGGTGGGAAATGGCATCTTGTGGGGTTTTTTGTTTGTTTGTTTGAAGTTTTAAAATTCTAGTTAGTTAACATATTGGTTTCAGGAGTAGAATTTAATGATTCATCACTTACATACAACACCCAGTGCTCATCACAACAAGTACATCATTCATCTAGCCCACCCCCCATCCACCTCCACTACAGCAACACTTAGTTTTTTTCTCTATAGTTAAGAGTCTTTTATGGTTTGCCTCCCTTTCTCTTCTTTTTTTTCCCCCTTTCCCCTGTGTTCATCTGTTTTGTTTCTTAAATTCCACATATGAGTAAAATCATAGGGTATTTATTTTTCTCTGACTGACTTGTTTGGCTTAGCATAATACACTTGATGAGTTCCATCGATCTTGTGGCTTTGATTTGTATTTTGCTTAAAGCTAATGATGTTGAGGGTCACCTGGATGGCTCAATTAGTTAAGCGTCTGCCTTCGGCTCAGGTCATGACCCCAGGTTCCTGGGATTGAGCCCCACATCTGGCTCCCTGCTCAGCGGGTAGCCTGCTTCTCCCTCTCCCTCTGCATCTCCCCCTGCTTGTGCTCTCTCTCTCTCTCTGTCAAATAAACAAATAAAACGTTAGAAAAAAAAACTAAACAAAAACTAATGATGTTGAGTAGCTCATCTTTTTATGTGGTTATTATCCATTTCTATATCTTCCTTAAAGAATGAATCAATTGTTTTGACCATTTCTTTATTGGATTGTCTTTTCATTATTGTAAGAGTTATTTATGTATATCCTAAATACAAATCCCTTATCAGATACAGGCTTTTCAAATATTTTCTCTTATTCAGTAGCTTGCCTTTTCACTTTCTTGATGGTGACATTTGAAGCAAAGAAGTTTTTGATTTTGATGAAATATACTTAATCTGTTTTTTCTTTTGGTGTCCTAAGAAACCATTGCCAAATCCAGTCACAAATGATATGTTTTTTTCTAAGAGTTTTATAATTTTAGCTCTTATATTTGGAGTTGATTTTGTATATGTGCTATGAGGTAGAGGTCTAATTTTATTACTTTGTCCCACTACCATTTATTAAAAAGGCTATTCTTATTCCATTTAATTGACACCCTTGTTGAAAATCAATTCACCATGTGCTCGCTTCGGCAGCACATATACTAAAATTGGAAAATCAATTCACCATAATGTGACAGTTTATTTTTAGATTGTCAATTCTAATACATTTATCTATATGTCTATCCTTATGTCACTGCCCAATCAAAGTTTATGAGAATTCTTCCCTAGTCGTCTTGCAAATTTACCACTCATTTATGTACTAATAAAAGTGTAGTAGAACTTAACTTTACTCCTGTAGAAATTTTTTGCTTCTTGAAGGAGCCTTTTACCAGCTTATGCCTTGCTGACTCCATGATATGATGAGAAGTCAGACTCAAAAAGATAGAGTTCTGGTTCTTTTCTCCATTCATATCTTGAGTCGCTCACTCAGTGCCTCCCACATCCGTTTCCATCAAATCTTGGTCATAGGATCTGCTGTCTACTCGTTACTTCATTATGTTTTATTAACTTATTATAAAGCATAGACTCATCTATAAATTTCACCATCCAGGAAGGAAAAGATGAACTCTGGGCTGTCAGCTTTCCTGTTTTGAAATCTTGGTAATCCATCATCTTGTAATTCACAATTAGATACTATTTTGACCGGGTTCTTCTGTATAACACAGGTGCTGATCCTGTTCTTGGCACAGATCCTACATTCTCAGAAAATACAGTTGTCTGTATCCATCTTCTTTTACTTTAAATAGAAAGATATGTCCTTTAATAGCTCAATAAATAATTAATGGAATAAATATTTCATTACATTATTTCAAGAATACAGCTGTAAAATATCAGGTAGTATTTAATTGAGTTATCAGAGACAAATAGTAGATTAGCAATTTGAATGCCATAAATTTTCAAAGCCAGTTTTGTATGATATGGGAAAGCATTGTGATACAACATAAAGATGAGATGGTCTTACTTACCTCCCCACATAAACAAGCTTGGAATAAGATAAAGGAGAAATTATATTTAATTAATTATTTTTTTAAAGATTTTATTTATTTATTTGACAGAGAGAGACACAGCGAGAGAGGGAACACAAGCAGGGGTAGTGGGAGAGGGAGAAGCAGGCTTACCGTGGAGCAGGGAGCCTGATGTGGGCTCCATCCCAGGACCCTGGGATCATGACCTGAGCCAAAGGCAGATGCTTAATGACTGAGCCACCCAGGCACCACCTATATTTAATTTAAATAGTGCCAATGGACAGTACATTTGGTTTACTACTGAAAAGATTAAAAATGATTCCATAATGTTCTCTTTATTTCCTCACTGATGAAAGGAGAATGAAGATTGAGTATTAGATTGATTTAAAAATACTCAAAGCTGGCTATTTCTTTTAGAATTTCAGTTAATGGAGATCAGGTAAAAGGTCCAATTTTGGTTATTAAACTATTCCTAGTTTTTCAGCTGTTATACTTGCAATCATATTGTCTTTCTGCTTGCCGGTCTTTCTTCTCCCCTAACTTGAGGGGAAAATCTATAGGGGCATGCCTGCCTAGTTGTAATAATTTGTAATTGAAGCATATCTTAGAGAAATGTCTTGAGAGAAAGGAAGATGGTAGCAGAGTAAGAGGAGCCTAAGTTCACCTAATACCTGAAGACTGACAGAACAAACTCCACAACTAAAGAGGGAAGAGGACACATCGAAGAAGGTAGAAGTACAGAGATGTGGTTTAGGAGAGAAACAGATCGTGGCTGTTATAGAGGGGAGGGATTCATGGTCATAGAGAAGGGCAGGAGAGGAGTACATGGAAATGCCCAAAGAGAACGTTTCCTCATACCCACTGGCTTGGAAGATGAGAGGGGCTGAATTTCATGAGTTCTTACAACGAGGGGGGCTTAAAGCCTGGAGTTCTAAAGGTCATCAGGCTTAGCTGGGATAGAGCCTGTAGGGCACTGTGCTGCTCTTGGAGAGAAGGCAGGTAAACAACCCGGGAGCATACAGCAGGGAAACAGTGATCTGAACAGTGCCTGGGGCATACAGTGGGGAGATTACTCACTCTTCTCAGAGCATGTCCCTGAGAGGCAGTGTTGACGGAGATTCTTCTCTAGGAACAAAGGAACCAGCTGGTGCCATTTCCCTCCACTGCCCCTCAGCACCAATACAGAGCCTCCTGTGGGAAGCGGTGCAGCTCTGACACTGGCTGTCTAATTTGCTTACATCAAACCATCCCCTTGCACTCCAGTGGAACTGCCCTGATCAATCATTCTTGCCTCAGTTCCAGCACAGCAGGCCTTCCCCCCCCCGCCCCCAGAAGACCTCTGCCCACACCACATCTCCTGAATAGATTCAGGAGGACCTCAGTTCCAGTGGAGGTGGTGACAGGTCTCATTTCACAAGCACACCAGAGCACACCGAATTTAAAAGTTGCTACATTCCAGCCAGGTACCAAACACTGCCCACAGCAGGTGGGGAGAGCCTCTGCAGATGACTGGCCTAAAGGATAGAGCAGCCAGAACACAACAGCAGAGTGCATGCAGCACACACTGTGGACACTGCCCTAAGTGCCAGACCCTGGGCACTACATGACGTCTTTTTCATAAGTCCATTACTTTCAGGAGCAGGTAACATAACTGGCTTTTCTAACACAGAGAAGCTGGTAGAGACGTAGACAAAATGAGAAAACAGGAATTTATCTGAAATGAAAGAACAGGATAAGGCCATGGGACCAGAGATTTAATGGAGGCAGAATAAATATCATGCCTGATGGAGGATTTAAAGCAGTGATCATAAGGATACTCACTGGACTTGAGAAAAGAATGGAAGACATCAGTGAGACCCTTACAACAGAGATAAAAGAATTAAAAAAAAGAATCAGAGATGAAGAGTGCAATAAATGAGATTAGAAACATACCTGATGCAATGAACAGCAGGCTGGAAGAAGCAGAAGAACAAATTAATCACCTAGAAGACAAAGTAATGGAAAGCAATAAAGCTGAAGAAGGGAGAGAAAGAAGAATTATGCAAAATGAGACAAGACCTCGGGAACTCAGTGTAGGAGTCCCAGTAGAAGAGAGAGAAAAGGCGTAAGAAAATTTATTTCAAGAATAATAACAGAAAACTTCCCTAATCTGGGGAAAGCAACAGACACCAAGATCTAG